ATAGAACGAAGAGAATTTCACATTGAACGAAGAGAATTTCGCAGGTCGTGTTTTATTAGGTCTAAAGCCACTCGCGCAGGCAGGTGTAAAAGTCGGATCGGATTGCCAGTCCGGGTCGGATTAGGTCGGATCGTGCAGGTATAAAAGTCGGACTGGATCGCCAGTCCGGGTCGGATTTAACCTGATGTTCAGGCCCTAATTTGAAATAGGGCCTGACACAAAACCTGTCTAGACCGTGGGACGCCCACATGTTATTTTTAGACACAACATGCAATATGATTGACAAGTGTTATAGATTTCGTTACACAAAAAAAATTATATTCTCATGAACATGTCCGCAGAGTGCATTTTGCTTTATAATTACAGTAAACTTAAAAATTCAAGGTACTTTTATATAAATAAGATTCAGACAAAGATTTAATTAGTCAGTTCTGTGCACGGCTAGACTGCCAAGCTTTCTCAAGGTCTCAACTTGCTGGACGCGGATATTAGGGATATACTTTTTTTAAAACGGGCTAACAACAGCAACAATGAAATTCTCAATCGTACCACGAAGAAGGCGATGTAGCTCAGAAAACAACGCCGGTAGGACCTGATATTAAAAATAAGACTTTTGCCGGCGAAGCCACTGTTGGCAGAACATCTTGGCTGTCAACAACAAGCTTTCGAATACATGACTAGTTTGGCTGTTCTTTCGGCGCCGTGTGCCCAAAATTCGTCCAAGATTTTGATAAAGCCCTTTCAAAATACTGTTTGTTTGATTTATTTTCTGCCATAAAGCATAAAAGAAAAAGAAATTCAAAGAAATCGATAATGGAATTTGTACGTGCGTTTGACCTTTATATTAATTGTCGCCTTGACCGAGCTTATTTTTAAAACTGTTGTTTATGTAAACTTGCAACCAATCAAAATCCTTCATGATGCTGATCAACCAATCAGATTTCCCGTCCACCAGGTGGACGGGAATCCCACACTTTAGATAGGTTTTGTGTCAGGCCCTATTCTGTGATAGGGCCTGAACTTCAGGTTAGGTCGGATTAGGTCGGATCGTGCAGGTATAAAAGTCGGATCGGATCGCCAGTCCGCGTCGGATTAGGTCGGATCGTGCAGGTGTAAAAGTCGGACTGGATCGCATTGATGACCGAATCGCTAGTCCGGCCGTGCCAAATTGCCAAAACGAAAATACACGCTTCACATGTGAAATTTGAAGATGCAGAACTCTGATCAGAAACATCTACACTATTGTTTTCATTAGACATTATACTTATATGCAGCTTTATTATCACAAAATTTTAAAATAGCCATGGCAATAGCTGGATTCCGTCTGGTATAAATATGAAACGAAAACTATCGGACGGATAAACTCGAAAAAATAGGAGACCCTCACCATCCAAGTTTCTTTTGAACGTCACGAGCAGAAACCCGTCTTGATTTATTCGTCTTCTGAGACGAGTTTCCCGTCTTGGACGGACTGTCTTCTAATATGAATTCAGCTAATGACGCGTAGACGTTAAACAATGGGACTCGACTAATATAAAGCAAAGCTTAAAGTATAATTCACCGTCTTTCCATAACATTTTCCCAACACAAGTAAAGGCTTTTAAAGTGCCCCTAACCTGTTCTATCCATTTTTCCGATTTGCCACACTGTGTAAATAACGCGGGAAAGATGCAAACTTCCATTTGTGTAAGTAACATTTCCCGGAATATCCTGATATTTTCTGATATTTCTAAATTTTCTAAAGATCCGACCTGATCCGACTTGGTCCGACCTAATCCGACCCGGACTGGCGATCCGGTCCGACTTTTACACCTGCCTCACTCGCGCTGCGCGCTCGTGGCTTAAAACCTAATAAAACACTCCTGCTTATTTAATTAAACAGTACGTAAATTTTTTACATTTATTTGACAAATGAACACCATTTACTATTTAGTCTAACCATCTAGTCTAAACTTTTACCTTTCTACTCGAAACTTCACTTTTACTCTGAACTGTGTAATTAAAACAAAAACAGGTTTTGTGTGAAACATTTATTACACTGCATTGAAGTCATCGAAATAACAATATTAATTTGCTCGCTTATTAAATTAAGAGGAGATTTTTTGTATGTTACGTAACACGCGCTCAAAACCACAGGGAGCCCATCCCGGGTCTTATTGAAGTTATGTATTAGAATTACGTATGAAATATATAGCTCAGTGTTGAAGCCTGCGACTTGCGGGCTGTGTGCGGGCTAAGCATGTGTTGAATGCTTAATAACAACCTCGTACCCAGGGTCTCTCCTTCTGTCATCTGGGAGAGACCCTGGCTGCGGCTGGTCACGTGCCTCCCAGATTCTGGGAGGTAAATTTAATTGTAACTGTGAGAGGGGTGGGAAAGGAGCGTGTTTGTAGCGTTTTAAAATTGCAACTTTGGGTGATGAAATTTACTGTAAATTTGCAACAAGAAATCGTAAAGAGAACTCTTAAATTAATATTTATATCGTGACGCTCTACTCTATAATCTGGTGTCGAGTTACAATTCAAGCAAGTTGGATCAGATTTCAATATTCAACTTATAGATTTGCCAAAGAAAGCCACTTGCCGCTTGTGCAGCGTGGCGATATTAAACCTACAAGAAAATGTAGATCTCTAGACCGAACAGTGTGGTTGTTATTTATTTAGTATTAATGTCTATCCTGATACTCGGACCAAAAGAATTTATTTATTGATGAGATGTGGAATTGCAACGAAATAGCGAGATCTTTTGATTGCCGAAATATCGCCAACTGTATCCAGATTGTTGATCTATATAAAGGCCTTATCAAAAAAACTTAAAGCCCGTCAAAACACTATAAAATTGGCCCTTGGCATTGCTGAAACCAACGATCATGGTATATGTCAAAGTATAGCTGTCTGTTGAAAATCTACGGTATTAAAATCATACACCAAAGATAAGTCAAACGACAAATTATATGTCACTATATTATACATGTCTTTCAATGAGCACTGTTTTTAGTAGTGTTTACCACCTTTATAAATTTTGTAAACAGCTTTCGTTTTGATATGAATAAGCTTTAAGTTTTTGCTGTATATGCATTCTTAATAATACAAGTGAGATTTAAATTTTTGCTTTGACTTTGTGAAGTAGAATACCGTTATTTTTTAATGGACAGCTTACATCGTCTATATCATATCCAGGATTGCTTGTGTGTGAACGCATTATTCACTATATGACACTATCAAATAAATAAATGATTAATGAATTAGAGATAAACAGGTGATTCACAATAAAAACTTTAAAAATGTTAGTAGAAGTAGGCTAGAAAACTCGAAAATTTATGTCTATTCGTATGATGCCAATGGCGGTCTGTGCGCATCTGACACTGTAAATTTGCGATATAGATTATAGTATGTTAACACAATATAATGATTAATAGAGACCAAAAAAAGGCTAAAGTCTTACTATAATTACCGAAAACGAATTATGTATTAAATCCAGATAAACCAATGACTGAAATTTCCTCTATACTTATAGACATTTCTCTGTTGGCTATTATCAAATGTTTACATTTGCTAATATTGGGTCAGTCCTAGACAATACTGTTTCTTTTAAAAATCTTATAAACAAGACGCGTAGTAACAAGTGAATCGGTACAAAGCGTATCAACGTTTACAAGAAAGGACGAATGTAATGGCGTATTTTAAAAACAATACAATATTAAAAGGTTTGTTATAACCGCGCTCGATTGTGAAGAGAGCATGCATTGAATAACAACGCGACAGAGCACGTACTGCGAGTAACGATTTGCTTTGTTTCTTGACTTGACTGTAAGTAAGAATGTAACTTATGTAAGAATGTTCTTGTAAATTCAAAACAAAGAAAATAAACAAAAATTAGCAAGTATTTTGAACGTAATAATTCGCAAAATTTATGTTTTTAACGAATGTTCCACTGGAAGCATGTTTATGTAATTTGATACTTTCCCCACACCCCCTCAGGCGCTAAATTTTTGATGAGGCACGTGACCAGCCGCAGCCAGGGTCTTTCCCAAAGAAAGATCCTGGGTACGAGGTTGGCTTAATAAAGGAAAAAATAAAGGGATGAAACATCGACGAGTGCCTGGAAGCATGTGTTCCATAGGTTGCTATGACATTGAGAAATTATCGATTTAAGTTTCTATAAATTTCAACAAAAGAACTTCTTTCATAAATTACCTTTCTGATTACAAGCTTGTCATATGCAATAATTTGGAAAATCCAAAAAATATTGCGGTTTACTGGTTAGTTAATTCACACATTTTTTGAAATTCTCACGGCCGGCTGATCGGCCGATCACTGATTTTGAAATTTTGTTTTGTATGTGTCTAAAATTTTATATGTGTTTTATATTCGAATATGCCAACAGCTACTAACAATACTATTTAATATTTTCCATATGATTTTAGACATCTGTGGAGTGTGTAGTAGGAAATAAGTAAGCATTTAAGCATGTCATAGCAACCTGTGGAACACATCCAGACATATCCAACCATACACTGCTGTGCGATCAATCGAAATATTTCTCGTTAGCAACTATTTGGAAGGTTTTGGCTAGACGATATGAAAGAACAGGCCCTAGAGGACCTTACAACGTAATAAAACTCTGACCTTTTTATTTAAACACACTGATATTGTGCTTTGAATTCTGGGCTTCCAGGCACTCGTCGATGTTTCATCCCTTGATTATTTTCTTTATTGTGTATTCAAAGCGCACGTTAGCCCGCACACAGCCCGCAAGTCGCAGGCTTCAACACTGAGCTATATATTTCATACGTAATTCTAATACATAACTTCAATAAGACCCGGGATGGGCTCCTGTGTCAAAACTAAGGCAATTGCTAGATAGTATACTTCAAAATAAGTTTTCCGTTTTTTTATTAAGGGGGGAGTTAACCTTAAATCTTCAAAGAAAATCAAAATTTCTTTTTTATATATTTAATGACTTTGGGACCTTAGCTAACATGTGCCCAAACCGTTTTTAAAAAATCAAAATCCTTCCCCTACTTTTGAGGGTTTTAATATGCATTATCTTATTTTTGTTACCGTTTCCATGGCAACCAATATGGCATTTTTTGTTTGTTTGCCACTTTAACTTGATTGTCCGCTTGCCAGCGTTTCGAAAGCAAGTGATTTACATAGTACCCTTTGTTGTGTACTACATAAAGTATTTGTGCTGTTATAATTTGGTGATTGCTGGCGCTCATTGCCATGCCAAAATTGTGATCAAAATTTTCAACGGAAATGCTATTTTCGAACGTGAAGAGAAATCAAATTCTTCGCTCTTTAATCTTTGCTTTTTAACATAAACAAATGGTTGGACAAAGCTCCAGATCTTTATATAAAAGAAAGAGGAAAGGGACTGTTTCGGGGCGTCAAAGATACAAGAAAGACGAGGCTTTAAATTCATCACGTAGTGACGTTATCAGACGTCTCAAACAGGCGAAGTTGATGGTCAAAATATCGTTGGAACCTCAATGAAGAAAGTGCGAGGTGACAGTAAGAATGCAGAGTCCGAGTTTACGATTGAGAATCCTTAAAACTGTCAAGAATTCTGGGTTATTAGCAATTTAGCCTGAACTGTTTGTCCACAGGCCACAGCTGTGTCAAGTATGCAACACATTTGTCAAGTGATTTGTGCTGTTCAAAGGTAAAATTCCCTTCAAAAGTTTTTTTATGTTTTCAATCCACTTATCTTTTAATATAGGTTTAATTGATAAGTTGTATTCAAACAAAAGTATATATGCATTATATTTATCCTTTGTATTAATTTTAATTATTTGTAGATTGTGTTAATAATTTAATATATTCCTGAGATGATACTCAGTTCTATGACCCTGTCAGAATTAAGGAAATATGACTCTTGAAGACGTCCCTGACAAACGTTCTGGTCTCATGTCAGAGTTTGCGTTGGGATGTGATTCATGTAATGAGTCAAGCAGTTTCACCACATTGGTCATATGCTGCTACTCGGGGAAGGTCACAAGATATAAATCGCTGTGCTGTTTATCACTCAGTGGAGACTGGCAGTGATTACGAAGGTCTGGCGTCTTGTTGCAGCATTTTTAACATGCCTTGTATTTCTAGGCCTGCTTACTACAAGCAAGTTGAAGGCATCATGGGATCACTTGAAGAAAAAGCAAAGGTTCCAAGAGATGAAGCAAGATAACTGAAGCGAAGAAGTCTGATTTGCATGCCACTGATAAGGAAAAGAGACGACGCCTATTGCGCACCAGAAGGGAAGAGGCCCTCCGCAATACTGAAGGAGTGACATATGAGGCAGCAGCTTTCTAGCTACTTCTCACAAGGATCTTATAGGTTATTAGAACTTACAAAGACCTTAAACTTTGTAAGATGATGAAATATTTAACATTAACCAGTAACAAAAACTGTAAACTCCATTTTCTCATTTCGCACTATTTCAGCGGTCGAGAAAAGATATCTTGAGTAGATTACAATGGATATGGCTAAAATTTTTAGTGATTGTTCCACTCAGTCAACTTTGTGTTTTAAGCAGAGGAATTTGTTCCATGGCAAATATTTTGAAAGTTATGGCTGTTTCAATATTTTATAATTCGGTGCTAAAATCTGATTGGCCATAACTTTTTCATTATTTAATGTATCCAAATTCTCTCTGCTTAAAACAGTAAACCCTATATGTTAGTTAATTTAAGATATAAAAGTGCCAAATCATTCAAATACAGAATGTGCAATCCTTTCTTGAATATAGCCTAGTCGCAAATTTGGCAATCGGCCCAGAGCCACCTTAATATGGCTTCTTGTGTGCAGTAAATAGCTTTTTTAGATTCCTCAGGGCATAAGCTTTCTGCCAATATATAGTTTGTGGGGGTTTTGATGTAAACTTAGTGAACTATGACGTTTTTCCTTACACCATATATTTAAGGTTAACTCCCCCCTTAATTTTTAAAATAATTAAAATAAGTTAGAGTTATGTTAGGGTTTAGGTTAGGGTTAGGTTGGGGTTAGGGTGAGGGTTAGTATTAGGGTTTAGTTTTGCGTTAGGATAGTTTTTTGTTGCATGCCCATAGATGGGCATGCAACTTTCATATAGCTCTAAATTTCGTGTCGTGTACGTACGAAAGTTGAAACAATAAATATGCACGCTTTTGTTCACGGCTTTCGTCGAAAATTTACTTAAATTAGCGCCTTAGAAAACTAGATCGAGGTAGGTAAAGCTTTGCTGTTTTTAATTTAGCTCATATTCTTTTATTTGTTATTATTTTGCTGCCGTTGTGCTCGCACTGATATTTATTTATCAATTATCAGGCGTTTAATATGTTTGTGAAAGGCCACGTACGCTATCAAAATTCTAATTTTTTATATGCTCAAATTGAAACGAAGCCATTGTGCTAGCACTGATTATATTGTGTGTAAAACTTCAAATTTCAAAATTACATCACATTCTGTAAATAACATGAACTATTGTCTACTGAAATTTAATAATACATATTGAACGAAATAGCATTCTACTTCGATAATTTCAATCATAGTCGAGATCATAGTTTAATAATTATTTTCAATCTATTATAGTAATTCACGGTTTCCACGGGTTGTTATGCTGTCAGTAAGCCACAATAAACCTAAATTTGGTAAAATATAAACATTGTTTACTTCGAATAGTCAATCATACCAAGTCTGTGATAAAACCTTGACCTGTTGACCTTGTTATTACCGTGCCTTGCAACTACAGATGAACAGTCGCGAAAAGTTTGAAAAAGTTATGTTATTTTGACATAATAGCTATCTTTCAATAAATATACTGATATTAAACTTATTGAATCAATATGTTAAAGACCATGTAAAGTCCGTAATGTAAAGAAACGCTTTGTTTACATTTTGAACTCAGTGCTACAGTTGT